TATGCCTGGAAAAGAAAACTGATGAATATCGTCCCAAAGATCATTCATGCGCGCAGCAAAATTGCAAAAGTTTCTTCGTTTGCTGAGAAAACACAAGTGTCTCATAAATTGATCGTCACAGCCGTCGTTTCTTATATATATTAATATTCGTCTCCGCGAGATTTACTCGATCGCGCTGTGTTATCTTATTCGGTTTCATTAATTTATAATATCTTTAAAATGTTTATCTTTACGATAATTCTCAGCTCTGATATTGCTCCTTTGGCACGCGGGGCACCGTGTTCGCCGGATCCATCGGTGAGGATCCTCTTGCGGGAATCCTTGCTCGTCGCATATAGAGAGACAGTGAGTAAGAAGGAGGACCGGAGGGCTCGCGCACATTTGCATGAAGCTGCCATAAGCGATCCTCCGTCGCTCTTTATATAAGCACTAAATTCAGTATTACGGTCGCCCACCCCGCTAAGCGCGGCACACGTATAAAAGCCTCCGGCAAAAAGTGGCGATACGTACGTATGGACAGGAACTCGTGCGGGGTATTGCGCGGGCGGACTCGTACGTGACCTTGGAGAATTAATGGCATCCGACGTGTACCGTCGAAAATTATTTTCGGCCGTCCAATATCCAATATCGCGAGGAGAAATATATGGCCGCGCCGTGGCCACCTTCGATCTGCCGACTGTTTACAAAAAAGAAAAGAAAGAAAACCAAATTCCGGCTTGCCGTCGAAATCTTTTCGCGTCTGCATCTAGAATCGATCGATACCATTGCACTCTATCTCCAGATAATAACGCGAGGGTATTGAGGTAATGAAATTTAATTATAGCGCTATGTGAGAGTCACCATTCCACCTCTCCGATGATTAATTTGGAAATTAATCACGGGCTTCGGTTATTGCTGTGTATTTAGTGTATTATTATTTGTTTCAAGGTAATTGAATTGATTATCCTTTGAAAGAACACGACGAAGATTCTCTCTCCTCCAACTGTGCCCACTTTGTTTCAATGAAATAATTCATGAAAAGTAATTCTCTGAGAAATGTCCAGGTACAAGATAGCCTTTTGACAAGGAAGAAAAAGATATTTGTTCCTATCCGAAATTTTAGTTGGTGGATTGATCGACGATAACATATGATATTTACTTAAACATTTTTTCGATTGTACACTACAATGATACTCCAACGAGCCATTTATTTTTGTCGATCCCTGAAAGTTGTAAAGTTGGTAGTGGCGGTTCTTGTGATGGCGGATGATTAAATTTCTACTAAATGAGCTCGTTTAATTGGTTCTTAACTGTAGCGATTTAACTGTATCGATTTTCAATAGCAAGTTTCGTCTAGAGGTTGTATTAAATTTCCTAATTAATGACGTAACGAGCAACTGAAATTCGATGTAACAGCATGTCGAAGCAGTGCGAGAATACGCGCGCGGAATGAAACAGGCGCGCGTTTACGCGGCGCTCGATGCGCGGGTATACTCAACTTTCGCATTTCCCACCAAATATCAATACAACGATTATCCGGAGGGAACGAAACTATCCAATTCCATTTCAACTTTGGCCTTATCCGCGGAGAATTTTTCATCCGAAACTTTTCCAATCTTCCATCAGTATTTTCGTTCCTTTTCTTAATCTGACACACAGTCGCGAGTTTTCTGCCGAACTCAGCCAACACACAAGTAATACTCGATTTTTAAGTTCCGATCGCCACTCTCTGCCGACCGGTTGTTTCCTCGAATTTATTAAGTATGTCGGTATATCCGACGTTTACACCGATAATCGAAAACTTAATCGACTGTCGACGGGAAAATTCACCGTTCGCGCGCGGACGAACATGTCAACGTCTAACGTTTGATATTTAATAATTCGAACCAGGTCGAAATACTATATTATTTTGTCGTTGTATTTAATCTCGTGTTTTGACCTTTCTACGATATTTCTATAGGAATTAAACACTGTGACGAAAAAAAAAGAAATGTACATGCGATTTTTCTGCGATATTTCGTAACATAACGTAACATTTGAGAGCTGCACAATATGAAATATCACAAATTGTAGTTTTAGTTAATTTTAGCGAAACTTTACAAACATGTTGATGAGCAGGTTCATACTTCTTAAGACTAGGAGCGTTAAGAGAAAGAGGCAAAAGTCCGTCTTAGGCGATAGAAAAATTTGTAAGACGTTTTAATGGTCTCCGGGAAAGCCGGTGTTCTGATTAAATCGCCTTTCACGAACCAGCCGGTACTATTATAAAAGTTGTAACAGCTTTATTACGGCAGCTCGTAGCACGGCCGCACTCGGGCGCGCGCGCGCGCGGCTGAAAACGAAAGAATTTTTAATTTCGTAATCGCACAAAGACAGCTTTTGAGTTTAAGACTTTGGCGAATATTCAACGTTCTTCTTTGTAGACGTGAACGTCGCTTCGGCTCTTTTATCGCTTGTAAGACTGAATCTCAAATTCAAAGTTTGATCATTTAGTTGCCGTAAACAGTTATTTCTGAAGTTTCCTTATCGGTCGTCATCGGTTCTTCGCTTTAACGCTTGTGCAGGCAACGCGAGATGAGTCCATCGGGACGTTTGTAAAATTTCAGTTGAAGTTTCTTATCAAAGTAAATTTTTAGCATTTCTCTGCTCACACGCTGAAGGAAAAAAAATATCTTATTTAATTTTAGAGATAAATTGTATTCTTATCCATAATATGTTATAGCACTCATTACGAAAATGGTTTTTCTGACTATAATTATGTCACTATGCAAATACATTCACAAATTCCAAATGCCGTTTTTTCTTCAGTGCACGAGACGCGATGAAGAAATGCGCGATTTAACAAATGGCGGTACGCATTGTGGAGAGAGAGAGAGAGAGAGAGAGAGAGAGAGAGAGAGAGAGAGAGAGAGAGAGAGAGAGAGAGATCGTCTCGTACGACGGAAACTAATGCTCGATCCACATTGCGCAACCTCTCTATTTCGGTCTTCTTATGGCCAGATTTTGGCTTTGTTCCCGAATTGAGAATGTCCTTTAGCTGACGGCGAAATGAACGCCTCGCTTGCACACATGACGCTCGCGATGATACACTTACTCTTAACGTTAATAGCGCGAAGGCGAACGATTTCATTCGCGCGAGATCAATCACGCAGGTTAAGAAATTAAGACGATCGCGATCTCGAGCGTTTCCGCGCGCTCGTGAGACCCGTTGATACTTCGCAACGTTACTTTTCTTCCGATTGTTCGCTGTATTCGCGCGCGGGGCTTCAAAGAAAATTCAAAGAAAATCCTACTTGTTTCACTGGCTACCGATTTGCTATAAATTATGCGCGCTGAATTATACGGCCGTTCCGGCTATCCGCGAATTTGGGCGATTCCACGCGCGTTCTCGCGCGAATATCTCCGGAGCAGCAACGCTGCCAAGACTCGGTAATACCATCACTCGACTTTATGTCCGAATCATGGCACCATTAATTTCCTAACACCATTTTAGTAGGGCGGCCTGGACATTAATAAAGAGAGCCCCATGCCTAGATGCCTGAGCGAATCAACTTCGAGATGTCGTTTTCTCATCCTTTTTCTTTTCCGCACGCGCGCTCACGTATGATATTTGTGTCGATGCGTGGAATTTATTTTTTCACGCGTTGCCTGTTTGGAATATTCGTTTAATTGTAGGTTGTTGTTGCAGGTGAATACTGTACGATTCATTATGTTAATGGAGAGAGCTCGCATATTAACAGTCACGTTCCGTTTTAATCGGTAACTACTTTATTTACCGGATATCATTTGGGTCGTGCTCACCTTTGTAACATGCTTATTAAAACATATTTGCTTTTGATTGCCGCGATGAGTAATGCATTACAAATTTGAATCTTTTTGGAAAAATATTCATTTAAAAATGAACAAAGTTGCAGAGTCACTTTGTAAGTTTGATTTGCGAATTACACACTAATTTCACATGCTTTCATGTATTCAACTATTGCAAGGGAAGTAAACACGAATAACAATATGTTTGTAACATTGTAGGCTATTATGAATATTATACCGAGACAGACTTCTCGCCGTGGCGTTAGAATTTTCGTTCAATTTTTTCGACGAATTAGTTTGACGTTCCTCATCACAATGCGGCTTGACGCGAATTATGAGCGACGTGCCTATTAATGCGCTTATCGCGTCTCCCCATTAGTGTCATATCTACTCGGACGCCGTATATCGACCGACTCGCTTTACGGGATTCCTTGTTGTCGCCGCGAAGATAGTTGGATTCAATAGTGTTTGCGCTGCGAGATTAATTGGCGTCGTCTCGGACTTGGGACTCGATACACTCGCTCAACTGCTACGCCGAGTATTCGCGCATTTATCGACAAGGAACGCGCGATCGTTCTGTAACTGATCAAGCCTTGTCGAGAGAGAGAGAGAGAGAGAGAGAGAGAGAGAGACTCGATGCAACGTCACTTGCCTCGATCCGAAGCAACGAGAACACGAGCTCTCGCAGTCGTACACGCGTTACTTAAACGCTACTGAAATAATTACGTTCTAGATGAGAAATATTATCGGTCGAATCGACCGAATCTGGAATTGGACTTGATTGGACGGTCAATCACTAAGAAAGATTTGTTATAACACACATTCCTTCACATATTAGGGGAATACTTTCATTATGCTTACATCCATTGCTTGTTGCAAATGTAATTATCCATTCACTTTCAATCCAAGTTCAATCATTTGGATTTGATAGAGAGACGTGATAAGCCACGTCGCGCGGCCACCGTATGAATAATTTCTGTTATCAAACGCGAGATGACACGTGACTTGAGTTCTTGCCGATTAAAATTTCAGGTTGTTCAGGTTGTTACTTTTACAGTGATACGGCTGATTCGGCTCGTCCCGTTAACTTGCGCCCGTGTGCGAGATAAAGCGCGAATATAAATCGCGCGAAAGTGTACGCGCGCCGTGCCGCGCGGCGAGAAGGCGTCACGGTGGGATAAAGTCTTACGCGGAACGAAATATCGCTTTTTCAGCCCGCCGACGTTCAAAACAGCGACACCGACGTCGCGCACGCAATTGAAGCTGCAGCTGATGCGGGAGCAGCTGCATGAGCAGGAGAGGCGAGAGGCGGAATTCCGGCAGAGCTTGCAGCAGCACAGGCCAGCTGCCGCACCACCCAGGCCAGTGCCACCTACGCCATTGCCTACCATTGGCGTGGATGTGCCGCCGCAAGTATTGCAAGTATGTGCCCCGCTATTATCGTCTATCGCTTTGATTCGCATGCTCGGTGCTAAATTGTTCGAGGCTGCACTACACGAGCCCGTGAATATATTAATTGGATCGTTCAATCCTGAATGCGCAAGACGTTGTCTTCCAAAGTTGCATTGAATTTGCGAAACTGGATAAACTCAATTTCCGAGCGAGAGCACCCTGCTCTAATTATCAATTAATCATTAATTTATCGATTCGTCCCAACTTTCGCAGCCAAATTTTAGCTTCTCCCATTATTTGTGGACAAAAGAAACTATATACGTAGGCAATCTGAAAAGTTATCAATCTGACACGTACGTGGCATTAGAAACTGTCAAATTATAATTGTATTGGAAAGTGGCATCCCTGATGTAAACCCGTGTAAAATTTTATTCGATTTGTCAAGTCATTCGAGTAGTAGCACCAGTTGAAAAAGCTTTGTGCAAGATGAGTGCCGCATTTGCTAACAGTTGACCAAAAACGCATTCGAATGCGTATTTCTCAAGCATGTTTGGATCGTTTTAAGCAAAATAAAATGGATTTCAAGCGTCGTTTCATAACTGTTGATGAAACTTGGATACACCAGAGCGAAAAGAACCTTCCGGAGTCACACTTTAATGATGCTATTGAATTATTGGAAAAACTGGTTGGAATAAATGTATTGAAGTTTCAGGAGATTATATTGAAAAATAAAACATATTTCACGGCAAAAAAGATTTTCTTTCACTGTTAGGCCGAGAACTTTTCAGTCGATGCCCTCGTAGCCCTCGGATTTGACTCTGCTATAGTTTGCGTAACTCTGACATTTGGCTTTTTCTATCCGGGCCTTTTTTCCACCGCTGCTATTGCATCGTCGTTTATCATACGGCATAATTAATACGTTACGCTCCGAGAGCGCACGGTTACTTGCTTTTTCGCGCGTGCAGTCATCGCGTAACACTGTTATATTATGCGAGTACAAGAAAGGTAAAGGCACCTTGGGCGCTCGTCAACCGTCTCGACTTTCTTCTTTAATTTTCCATCGCGTAGCGTTGAAGCAAGGTTTCGTGTCAGATTCAGAAAGCGTGTCAGAGAGAGAGAGAGAGAGAGAGAGAGAGAGAGAGAGAGAGAGAGAGAGAGAGAGTGAGAGGGGGAGCGAGCGGGGGAGGAAGACTTTATGTTAGACTTCACGGTATAGCACCAAAGTATCCAAAGCCAAACGCGGGACGGTCTTCTCAGATAGAGCATTGTTCTCCGAGCAACGAAGGGTCAAGCATCCGGTTACCATCGTTTGCGTTTCCGTCGCTTAAGGCTCTGCATATATAGATATATAGATATTTCGGGGGTTGCAGCGTGCTCGGGCCGGATTGAGAGAGACGGGGGAGGAGGATGAGGAGAGAGAGAGAAGCGGCTGCTAAGATAACAATACCTTATAGTTTCGAGGTCCCAGCAGTTTGCCGTATCGCGGCAAGGCGAACCTGTGTTCCGTAGCGTCGTTAATAGATCTATTCGGTACACCTTGTCTATACCGCTAAACCTCTTGGAATAATGTTCGCTAGTGCAGGAGGGAACGCAGCGCGAGAGTCGTCGATGGTTTACCTTGCAATTAGCTTCACGCAACATGCTTGTCGCGTGTTAGTGAAAGAGTAGTTGGGCGCAAACGTGACGACATCTTCGAATTTGCGATTCGATTTTGCGTGCGAACTTTGCCGTCACTGCAGCAGACTGACGATCTTCAGGGATAGTTAAGGCTCAACTTGACATCCAATATTTTTCACAATTTCATTCACATTCATCTGGCCTTACTTTTTAATTGTATAAGCGATCGATAAGCGATAAAAATGCCCAACAAGCGCGACATTACAAACGTTATAGAATAATCATACAGACAGAGTAGATTGTCCGATCTGCTTTTACCTGCGTATCGCAATATTAATGATTACACGCGTCTTTTAGGTGCGGACGTTGTTGGAGAATCCGACGCGCTACCACGTGGTGCAGAAGCAGAAGAACCAGGTGCGCCAGTACCTGCACGAGTCGTTCCGCGGGGGTAGCGACGGCAATGCGGTCGTCGGCAGCGCCGGCAGCGAGGGTGGCAGGACGCCGGTCGACGCCGGGCCGCCGCCCGTCCCAATGGTGGTGCAAAGCGCACCGCCCGGCCCGCAACTGCATCACCCGAAGCCGCAGCATCCTCATCTCGCCTCGTACCCGCACGCCCCCGCGCTACTGCCGCACGGCAACCCCGTGGTCTCGGCGAGCCCGGATCCCGCCACCGGCGCCATGTCTCCGGGTCTGTCGAGCGTCGCCACCAGCAACTCTGAGGTGAGTGTACAGTGTATGTAGCGAACGTAGATTGTATAACGCAGTGGTAACGCAGTGGCGTGTGCAAGCCGAGATCCCTGAGAAAAACTTTCGGACACGTCGACGAAAATGTCCCTCGCTTTTCCCTCGCGCAGTTCTCGGCAATTTAACTCGTGTTACATTCACTCGTGTTCCTCCATATTTTGTAATATGGAAATTCAGATGGGGATTATTAAACAGATAATCTATAGCCAGAAAGCCAGAAAAAAAAGACAAAAAGTCGCTGCTCGCACGCACGCACAGAGAGAGATAATAAAATAGTCCGCCCCGATTTTTCGACATTTCATCAATGAGAAAATGAGATAAATGTGGTGACGGACATTCGATTTAAATAACGAGAATCGCGATTCTTCGAGGTTGCGTTCCGACGAGAGAAATCTCGTCGATTCGGCGAGGGCGGCTGGATCGAAACGAAATCGTGCCGGTGCATTTGTCTGGTCGTTATCGACGCGCGCGACGCGACGCGACGCGACGCGTGGAAAGCTATTTTTCTAACTCGCCCGTTCTCATTCGCTCCAATTTAAGTACGACGTTTTCGATTAACGCTAACTGCTCTTATGTAATCTATCGGTTATCTCGCGCCGGGCCGCGTAACTTTGCTCTCGCGCTTGTTTAATAATTAATCAGCGTCGAGCGTGCGCGCTTGCGTAATCTCGCGAAACGTCGCGCGGTGCGAATAATTTCGCGACGCGAGCCACGCGCGAGACAGAGACCTCGCGGCAGCAGCCCGCTCGCGATTCTTCGTCCCGTCGCCGTCGTCGTCATCGTCATCGTCATCGTGGCCGTTCCGAGGCGCATCGGTTTTCTTTTCTTACCGTTCTCCTAAAGGAATCTGCACACGCAAAAGATCGCGCGTGCGCGCGCGCGTGCATTTAGCACGGTATGTATCACGGTAGAGGCGCACATTCGTGAGAGCAAATTCGCTGCAAATGTCGAAATGGGATTCGCGGCACGCACTAGCGGTGCTAATTGCCGCCGCCTGGGCCTGCAAATCGATCTGATTTGCGTCGCGAAGGAGATCCGTAAACAACCGCGAGGAGGAAACTTGGAAAGTGGGTCCCTGGAAGAGGCTGCTTATTCGACCTCGTATACCCCATTGCCGTTGAATTCAGCCGACACCGAATTCTCACCGTGGCATAAGCTACGGTGTACGTAAGCTATTATTTTTACAAGAGAGCCAGCGCTATTCCTGGCGGATTCGTGTATTTGCGAGCCTCTTAACGTCCATCAACGTTACAACGTTGACATATCTGACATTATTGGCGTTACTTGTTGATTATCGCTCGTACTTTCGTACCTTCGGCGCGACACCGCGCGGCGATTAAGAGACATTCGCTTCATCGTGATAATTGAATATTCGGCAAGTAACCGGAGCGCATTTTCTACGTCTCGTACGCGACATAGCGCGTTTTCGCCGATGTCGAAATATCCCTGGGAGCGGCCTACTCGGGTGGGATATTAATGTTAATATTTGAGGAAATAAAGTCGCCCCTCTCTCAAAGTTTCAAGAGACGCGCGCGCTCCGCCCTGTACAGGGAAAAATTCACCGCTAAATTCTCCAGTTCTCTGATTTCGAGTCTCTCTCTCTCTCTCTCTCTCTCTCTCTCTCTCTCTCTCTCTCTCTCTCTCTCTCTCTCTCTCTCTCTCTCTCTCTCTCCCTCTCTCTCCCTCTCTCTCCCTCTCTCTCCCTCTCTCTCCCTCTCTCTCCCTCTCTCTCTTTCTCTCTCCTCTGCCCACACCGGACGTACGTACGTGGTACGGTACGGTGATATTCCGCGCGAGATTCGGTGGTCGGTGAGCTTTAACGCGAAATGCGCGTCGTACGTTCTTCTTAATCCGCCGTCGACACGGAAATTTCGCCGCGAATAATTCGCGCGCGACTTTCACGTTTCTCGACGTCTCGGCATGGGACGTCAAACGTTGCTACGAATGCCGTACGGTTGTCGCGAGATCTTTCGACTCGTGACTTTTGACAGCGAGATAACGATAAGCGATCGTTACACGCGTGTCACCCGGTACACACCGCGTACGAGAAACGAGAGCCGGCGGCTCGTTAACTCGTCAGCCTTACGGCACTGGGGCTCTTAATAAGGCGAAATTGTTTTTGGCGACGACGTACGTACCGACACGATACCGAGCGACCGCCTTTAAATTGATCCTTTGATCCGTCGTGCCCTGGTGTGGAAGAAGCCGCTTATACCGGGTGTCCCGTCCGCTTCGAGCGGAAACATTTTCGATGTGATAATCGAGCGTTTTCTCAATTCGTCCGTGAGTTCTCTCGCCCGCTCGAATGATTCTTCTCTGCTCGCGTTGATTGAACTATTTCGCGCGTGAACTTCTCGGAAATTAAACAAGTTCGGGCTGTTTGCGGGATACGAGGATATACGAGGAGAAAAAAAAGCTGTTTGCAGCGCGGACACGTGGAACGCGCAAACGAGTTGTAGCGAGTTGTATTTGCGTATCCGTGCGAGTGTTTGTGGCGGAAAGTGCGCGCGGTGTTTTAAGTGAAAAATATTTTTCTCTTTGGTTCATCTATATGGCGATCGTGTAAAAACTTGTTACGAGTAACTCGCTGCTTTTATACACCGTTTGACATTGCATCAATGATATGATTTTGCTCAATTTGGTATATAAATTGGTGCCTGGCGCATTAAGTTATAATTTCAGACAACCAGCTATAATTTCGATTATGCCGACTAAGTTTTACCATACACGATACGTTTTATTCAGCTAGTTTTGTCTCGCCGTCATGCGTCATTCTTTCCTTTTCAACCGGATGGATTTCAAAGTTTCGTAGATAAATTTTTAGTCGGAGCATCAGCGTCGCTATCGCGTAGAACGTGGATTGTGACGTCTTAATTAAGAGGGCTTTTGCTCGTAATAAAATCTACGACAGTCTCCCACGTTCCCATCCTACGGTGTCTGTCTGCCTCTCGAGTCGTTCCTTCCAGGGATTCCAATATACATACATATACATACGCGCGCACATGCATAGACGCGCAAAGCACAGATGGTTCCATTCAACGGCAAAAGTCTCGAGAAAAATAGCAGCGGGCTAATATTTGAGCCTCTTCAAACGGCCGCGCGGTCCCGTACGCCAGCTGGCCCGCGCCGCGCCGGCGGCTCTCCATTTTGAATAATGGATCAGACGCGTTTCGCGGGACAAAGTAGATATCCGCGGCATTCGCCGACGGGGGACAAAGTGCTTTTAGCCGGATACCCGCCCGCGGCGCAATTTGCGCGATGCATTCGTCGGCATATATCCTCGATTATGGATGTTCGCGGCGCTACCAATACCGCGAGGTATCCAATATCTCTAGAGGCTCCACAAGAACGAAATACTACGAGTAGAATCGGCTGGGAGGAGACGCGATTATTTTCAATGGAGCGTACGGAATGCCACGGTATCAAATCAAATTTGATTTTAATGATGACTCTCGCGGGGAATCTGGTGTAGGAATCCTTCTTCGCGAGCGATTTTCCGCGTGAGGGGGAAAGAGAGAGAGAGAGAGAGAGAGAGAGAGAGAGAGAGAGAGAGAGAGAGAGAGAGGGGGATTATCTTTCACCGCAATTTAAATTAATATCTCCGAGGGGTACTAAAGTCTATATTAATAATCTCGTTACTCAAACTTGCCTTACGTCAGATACTTGAATCTGAATTTAGACTTGCTAGTCTGAGCTTCTCTCCCACTCGTACACGTTGTACATGGCTTTATATTTTTACGTGATTGCGTGATTCAATCAAATAGAGCTGACATTTAACTTAATTTGAAACTTGGATCTCAACATACATGCCATCTGAAACAAGTTTCAAGCGAGTGATTACTGATACGGCGTTATACATGTCAGTAATTGTATTAATAGTCACAACTTGGAGCTTATCGGATATCTTTGTCCGTACATGTCTCCGTGAACTGAAAGCGTATCGTTACAATGTACTGTGCATAAGTCTGCCAGAGATTATGATCATAAACACACATCGTATCCAACCGCAATCTTCTTTTCGCGAGAAGAGATGTACACCGCAATTTATGCCGCGTACAAGATATAAAATTCCGAGCGCCAAGTGCGCGGCTGCTTTTACTTTCGGCCCGTCGATTGCGCCACCTGTGATATACGGTAGCAAACGGCGCTTTCTTCTGCTTTGATATTCGGCTCGCATCCGCGAAACATGAGGAAATCACCGTCCGTTGAAGAGTCGTAAAAACGAAGCCGTAAAACAGACGACACATTTTTAGCATCCATCTCGCGCGCGGTCACGTGTTTTCGCGCGCGTACCATTTTAACGACGACGTCTCGCGAAGTGTACCTATATAGCTCCGCAGCTGCGATGATTGACGTTTCGCGGATGAGCTCGGAAACTCCCTTGGAAACTTGGGCTGCGTGTCGGTCCATTTACGATTTCGAGCTTCCCTGCGTGCTTACGTGCCTGCGTCCGAGCCGATATACGGCCACGGCCGTCGATGCGCAATTAATCTTCGTTAGACGCTCGATGTACCGAGTGACGCGCGCTTGTCCGCTATAATTACCGTCGAGATTGATGCGTTTGTAAACAAATAGTTTTGCAGGCGTCTCGGTGAATTTCTTACGACGATAGATATTACCTATGGCGCTTCGTTCTTCCACGTTACGCGCGATTACCCGCGCTTGCTCACACTCGCTCGATCATCGGAACGTGGCCTTTCTGCTCTGCCCGTTATCTACTTTAAGCTAGAATTGTTCCGAGTGAGAGCTTCCTCTCTCTCTCTCTCTCTCTCTCTCTCTGTTTATATCCTGGGGATGCTACGCCTCGGCGTGTCGGTGCACTTCGTCGGTTTAATTCTCATTGGCTTGATGTTCGCGATGTATGCGCACCTTAAGCTGTTGATACATCGCGATTTCAATGGCTTAGGATCTTAATGTGACCCTGGTATTTACACCTGTTGCAATCGCATCGGTACGCTCTCATGCGATTGAACGGT